CAACAAATAGACCCACATCATAATAACAGCAAAATGAAACAGTTTAAAGGGCAAAAAGGCAACCAATATTAAATTATTATTATCATTAATTATTATTATTATTATTATTATTATTATTATTATTATTATTATTATTATTATTATTTTATTATTATTATTGTAATTATAATTATTGTAGTGAGATTATTCTATCGTTCCTGTTATAGCTACTCATTTTTAAGGTTTAATTTCAGCACTAGAGATATTCAGAGTACCCAGAGAGCCCAACATTTTTCGGGGCCCTTGCACGGGCCCTCGACTCGCGTCAATTGAGTTATTTCCTGTTAAATCTCAAGCCTCTAGCTACCTCCAACTTGGAACGTATTCTATATTCCAACGTTATTGAGTAGTTAGATTCTTTCTTCCATAGATCGATGAACTGATAGGCCTGAAGAATACACTTTCGTACATAATTATTACAACGTCGAGCCAAAACAGTGTTTCTAATGTATTTAATTGAATGCTAGTTGAGCTAAGCCTATATATATATAATACGCATACTTTATAAAACATAAATTAACCTAATTTTCTGATAAACAAATTAAATAACATTAATTAAATGAAATATATTGATATAGGCGTATTTGCTACCATCAACCGTAACACATAATTTGAAATAGAAGTAGGCGTATGATTAATTAATGTCGAAATATTGAATCTAAACACGATGGCGTGTTTTTCAATACTTGGAGTATGTATTATACTTTCTTATCTGCGATTAATCAGTGGACCTTTCAGTAGTAGACGTATCGTAGAAGAGAATCACTAATGGGCATTGACCTCCGAAGTACTGTAGAAGTACAGAAATAATAGAGTATTTTTTTGTGGATGAAATATATAATATATAATGAAATATATAGAACGACTAGGAAAAAGGTGTGATATCGAAATTCCAAAAGAGGAATCATGTTATAAAGATATCCTGTTTTCTTTCCTGTATTTCTTATGTAAAACTGGATTTAAACTTTCAAAACGTTTCTAAAATGTGTATTTAGGCTTCATTAATACGGTATTGCGAATGCATCAATAGTCAGTCAATTGAATGAATAACGCTTTTGTATCATTGGCACACCTTTTTAGTGTAACCTTACAATGACTAGACAATAATTAATTGATATAGAGAAAAAACAAAATAAAAATAAAAAAATATGTTCTCTCTTATAAAGTATAATGAAAATAACCTGATGGAAAAAAAAATCAATAGGAAAACTAAGAGGAACAATGCATCGAAAAATTGGGGGGGGGGGGAATAGCCTGGGCTGGGAATAACTCTCCAGGTAGAAAAAAATCAGTGGGGAAAATTAGCAGTTGGCAAGTAGCTACCGTAATAGTGCTAGATTCTGTAAAGTAAAGCCTCAAACCACCTTGATTTTGCAGATATAGCCAGAACTAACTTAATATTTGGAGTTTTTTGATAGCAGATTATTTTGTTTAGATTATAGTGAGTTAACCCGACTCAAAGACAAGCTTGCGTACAAAAATACATGCACATTCATCTTCTATACACAATTAAAGATCAAAATGTTAATGTAGATAGACATTTTGAAAACAAGAACAAAAAAACAAAAAAACAAAAAAACAAAAAAAAAAATTTCTCCCATAATTACAGAAACTTCTTTGTTGAAACTAATACAGAAACAAATTCTTTTGTATTTAAAATATTTTTTTTAATGAATTAAGAAACATTAGAACATTCAAGATTAAATAAA